GATGTCGATTGACCTCTCCTGGTTGCTCAAAAAGGAGTGCAGGCGGCAAAAGGCGACCCAGGCTTGACTCAACCGGTACTGTACTGTGTCACGCTCGATTTTGACTCCCAAATATACATGCGAAGTCTTAATGGGAAGTCTGAGTGTGCCGGTAGGCTGTCGCACGACAAGAATCCTCCCGGTTGGCCTGCGCTCCGTGAACCTTTTGAGCAGACGCGGTGCCTCCTTACCTTTGATACCGAGCAGGATTACTGTCTTGTCTATGGAAACCTCCATTCCAAGAGCTTGGAGATCTGCAATGATGCGCGGAAGCGTCGAGCAGGCCACTCGGAAATCCCTGGCTTGCCTGAAAGACCACTGCACATGGAAATCGTCTGCATAGCCCGTTAGGGCTTGGGAGGGCAGATACTGTATCAATCTGTCATGCAGGAGGATGGTAAAACATATCCATAGCAGTGGTGATAGGCCACACCCTTGACGGATGCCACGTCCCATTCCAATGGAGGCCTGTTTGTCATAACGCGTTACTATGATTCTGGCGTTGTCATGTATGGTCAGGATGAGCGCTATGAGGTCAGGCGGGGCTCCCACCCTCTGGAGAGCAACGATCAATTGCTGACGCGGGAGACGATCATATATGCTTTTGTGAGATCTAGCGAGAGCTGCATTCCTCCCGTGAAATGGGACGGGGCAGTTCGCGCCCGCTTGTGAAAAAGGGAGCCTTGGTGGGCCTTCAGCGATTCTCTTACCTCACGGCAATGTGCTATCACCCGGTCCACCGCATCTGCTACTTGCCCCTATTGCATGTATAAGCGAATTGTGGGATATCCCTTATCGCTCTCTCTACATGCTCCCTCAGTCTCTCGGCGGCAGCGCGTGCAAGGATTTTGGACATGCATGGCAGCAAGCAAATGGGTCTCAGGTTGGCCGGTTTGCTTGGGGGTTTTCCCGGTTTCGGGAGGAGTGCCATGTATGACAAGTTCCACTGCTGCTCTAGCTGAATATGTGTACCCGAAGTGGCACGGTTGAGCTGGGCAGTGATGGTGGCTTCCAGTTGTGTCTCTGCCGCGCGCCATAGGGCTGCTGGTGCATGTCCAGGCGGCAGTGCTTTGCGGCCAGAAACCGAGCGCAACGCAGCCAGTATCTCATGCCTACTAAAAGCAATGGGAGAACTTATGGGCTGAGACACTTGTGTTTGCGCTTGCGATTGGTACAGATTCTCAAAGAAGTTCTGCAGGGCTTGAAGTTCTTCCTGGGTATTCAGGAGTTGCCCGTTAGCATCCCGGAAGTGAATGGATCTTTTGGATGTTTTGGGGCGGAGGCGATTCATGAGTTTATACAGCCCTGACAGGTTGCCACTTCCCGCCTGCTGAGCTTCTTGTATGAGATCATCTACCTGTTGCTTCTTATTGCGCTTGGCCCTGCTCCGAAACTCTCGATCCTGGTGTCCAAAGTTGCGTGCTGCTCGCCACAGACAGAACAGCGGGCGGAGGTTTTGCCGAGCGTGGGAGCGTAAGTGCAGCAGGAGGCTGATGGGCCTAGTGCCATGTAAAATAGACATCAGGACTGGGGCCGCAAAGGCTTGGCATTGCTCCTGGGCTTGTTTAAGGGCTCTTTTGGCCTCCCAGAAGTTCTTTAGACAGAGTACCTTATGCGGTGTTTCAGAGCCGGGGGCGGGCACGCCGTGGTGCCGGCGGTCCGCGGCTCGCGGCGCACAACTGTGCCATGCAGCAGTGAGACATTGATCGATGTCACTCTCGTGATGAAGTTGTGCTTGCACTGCTCGCTGAAACTGTGGAACAAGGTCTGGCAGTTGCTGCAGGGTTTGGCGGATGTTATGAGCCTTTATCACCGGGGGCTTGCTTCTGTGAGGAACCTTGGGTGAGTCAAATCGGCACTCCACTGGAATGTGTCTGAACCCAGTGGGATGGGTCAGGGGCGAGTCGTGCAAGGGTCGCGCCTTCATGCATTGCTCAGAGCACGGCATTCGGCACAAAATGAAGTCTAACTGCACAGCATTGCCTGTCGGCTGGAGATAGGTGGCAGCCGTGCGTCCACTTCTGCCCCAAGTATTCACAGCATTGAGGTTTAGGGAAGTGACCAGGGCCTGGAAGGCGTGCTGATCTTTATGTGGGTTCCTGGCATGTACGGCTACACCATCTCCTATGTGTGGGGGCTGTGGTCGGAGGGTAGAATTGGCATCACCCGCTATGAGAAGCAGGTTACGTCTAGGTATTGTGTGAACCCATTTGCGGATGGCCGCCCAGACCGTCTCCCGTTGCTGGACAAGTTGAGCTGTTCTGGCATCGGCATGCCCAGACAGCTGCTTGTGGTGGAGGTTCCATGCATGTTGGTATAGACCCAGGACATCAATGGCGGGCTGGGATTCTATTCTAAGGTGAACCAACCGGCCTGGAATCAGCTCGGAGTACCTTAGCAGGTCCCTATGTCCGAAAGTCTTAGCAACCATAAACAAAATGCCTCCTTGCGTTGTCTGGGTGCCGGAATGTATGCAGTGCCAAAACTCCGTGTCGAATTCGGAGCTGGCAGGCCAGTGACTCTCCTGCACGACTACTGTATGAAGATCATTCTTATGGTGCTGGTCGTTGGCCCAAGAGACTAGTTCAGCATACCGAGTGGAATGTAATCCACCACTATTCCACGTAACCATCCTAACTCGTGCTTGGCGAGAGTCACTGGACGGGTGCTGACTCTGAGAAGCGGCCGGCGGATCGGTTCGCAGGGGTCTACGATGATGAAAGAGCGCTTGCCCGCTGCGGTACGTGCCGTGAAGCCACCTGCCTGTGGACGCCGCTGGGCTCCTTGTTGTCCCGGGATTGCTGGGGTGGAGTCAGGGTTGGCCTTATTCGGGAATCCTGCCGTCAGGGTACATAGCTGGGTCCATGCTAGGAGCATAAGTAGACACTGTCTTCCGAGACGCAGGTGGCTATGGGACGTGTTTAGGGTGTGCTTATCCTGTAGGGTCCTATGTGTTGGGCTCTTCAGGAGCCTGCTGCTGCCACGCAGGGTGTGGTGCCGAATTGTCTGCAGGCGTGCACCGTGCATTATCCTCAAGCGTCGCCGGTACTGGCCTGGCAGAAGTCGGGTGGTGATCCACCGAGGCTTGGGACTATGCAAGTGCCGCCATGTGCAGCACTTCAGAAGCAGACACATGCCGATCACACATCCTAGCAGCGGCGGACCTGAGAAGGAGGCGGCGTGGGCAGAGTCTGAGCTCCGAATGCCTCTCCTCCAAGTGCGGGAAAAAGGGTGAAACCTTATACAAACAGCGACTGTGGTTGGCTCTGAGTGCCGGGTACTATTAGCTTGGCCAAGAGTACTGGGTATCAAAGGGTCGAAAGGCTTCACTTCAGAGTAAAGAAGGCTTGAGGGCTGCATGTGGCAAGCTACAGCAGAGGTTCGACCAAACTGATCTCCTACCCTCACGTCTACCCATGCGGTGGGGTGCTCAGGTCCTGGATGTCGTTTGTCGCATGGGTCCCCGGACTTGGGACCGGGGCGGCCACCGCGGATCAGCGGTGCCCCGTCTTCCTCTATGCCGCTGATGGCCCTACAGCTGCGCGTTGGAGCTCGACGCTGCAGACTGGTCCTTGTATGGGCCGCGGAAGCGCGAAAACCAATCCTGTAGTTCTCGTTGCCGATCGGAACCCAGAAGCGGCCAAATGGACAGGATGAGCTCCTGGTAGAAAGCCAAAGCACAAATGTCGACCAGCTCGTATGCCAGCGTGGTGGTCTTGGGAAAGAAAAGCTGCTCGTCCAGCCGGCGTGCAAGCAGAGTCTGCATCTGTTGCACCAAAAGTGCTTTTGATGGATCGCCTTGTTGTCCTCTGGCGAATATCCAACCCATGTCGTTGGGGAGGACAGGGTTTTCCAGCGCGCTCCGGAGGGACGCAAAGTCCTGGGAAAATTCCGTTCCAGTTGGCTCCAGTAGCCATGGTTGTACCAGCTGTTCCATCTCTTCAGGGCTGCATCCATTGGACCGGCGGCGAAAGCCGCTGAGGCGTTGGACCACGCTCCTCTCAGCATGGCCCTGCTCTCGGAACCGTTGTTCCATGTAGCAGCTGCAGAGTTTGCATAACACTTGCTTGCGAAACCAGCTAAGTCGAGCCGACATGTCGTGGTTGAGGAAGTGCTCCTTGGGCTGCAGTGGTCCAAAGGCGGAAGCAGGTTGGGACGATGAGCTGGGTCCATGGTCGCTACCTTCCAGTTCGCTGTCCATAGGAGATTGCTCCGGGCGCGGGTCGGTGTGGGCTGCACTATCGGCAGAGTCAAGATCACTAAGATGAGCAGAGCCTGGGGACATCGAAGGGTCCTCATCGGAATCAAAGCTCGAAGATGATCCATGGAGAGAGCGCGGCATGTGCGAGGCATAAAGGACAGGGCCCTATAAAAGGTGGCCCG